TCATTTTAGTAAATCTTAGTAATCTTTAGTAAATTTTACACTTTAATAACATTTTTCATTTTTAATTTTTCATTTTTCATTTTAGCACCGTTTTTATTTTGTTAAGGTCATTTTTCATAAAATGTCTGTTTGTCTGTATGTATGTTTGTTTCCTAACTACTCTCTTAATATTCTATTTTATACGCCAATATTTAATTACGCCAGAAATTGGCTATTTTAATATTGCTTATATTAAATATGCCTATGCGTATTTTTTATTTTATTAAATATTTATATTCTTTATTCGATTCGCTCGGCCATTGATTGAAATAAAACGAAATAATTTGATATATAAATATTCGTAATTAACACTAGCCACATCAGCCACATATTTGATAATATTCATAATTTACACTTTAAATACTTTCATACTTGCCTTCTCTTTTCTAATTTTTATAGTCTAAATATTTAAATGCGTACTTTTAACGACGACATTTTTCATTTTAGTAAATCTTAGTAATCTTTAGTAAATTTTACACTTTAATAACATTTTTAATTTTTCATTTTTCATTTTAGCACCGTTTTTATTTTGTTACGGTCATTTTTCATAAAATGTCTGTTTGTCTGTATGTATGTTTGTTCCCTAACTACTCTCTTAATATTCTATTTTATACGCCAATATTTAATTACGCCAGAAATTGGCTATTTTAATATTGCTTATATTAAATATGCCTATGCGTATTTTTTATTTTATTAAATATTTATATTCTTTTTATTCGATATTTTGTTAATATTCATTTCGATATTTAGTGAATATTCAAAATAGACGCTCAAAATAAAATAGAATAAAATTTCAATATATATCGAAAATTGATCTATGTCACATTGTTATATTATATAGTGTTATATTATAGTGTAACGTTTTTTTTTTGCATTTTTACACTATACATTTTTACACTATACTATAAAATGTTGATATTATGCCGTGAGAGTACAACTGAGAGTACACACTAAATAAAATAGTAAGAATAATGTTATTTCCAATTAAGGTTTTTCAATAACGAAAACATATTGATGTTAGAGTTTCAAAGAAAATCTAAAAATGAAAATGTTGTTAAAGTAAAAAATTAAATTGTGCTGTCTTGTATTATTGTTTTTTATTGTTGTCTCTTATAAATGTCTTAAAGTTGCAAAACCTATATATAAAGAAAAAAGAATGACCGTTTCTCTTTATTATATCTACCTTTGCCAACAGGGACATGTTTCGAGGAAGATCAAATTCCCCTGCACCTTTGTGGCCAACTTGATCAAGTTTGCCCAAAATGTAGAGCAAAGTATTTCGAATTGGCACAAACGACATACAGTAAAACTTTTCATAAATGCTGTTCCAGAGGAAAAGTCGAACTTGAACCGATTCAAACCTCTGAACTACTTGAAAGTTTAATGACTGGAAAGCATCAACTTTCAAAGAACTTCATGGAAAACATCCGTTCCGTCAACAGTGCCCTAGCATTCGCTTCAATGGGAGCAAACCTTGCACCTCCTCCTGGATATGGGCCCTATTGTTTCCGAATCAACGGACAGATTTATCACCGCTCAGGTGCCTTGCATCCTGAAAATGATGATCATCTATTTATCTGAACCAGTTTTTAGCCATGGTCAGTTATATGTTGCTTTTTCTAGGGTGAAAAGCTCTAAGTGTGTTGAAATAAAAATAATCCACGGAAGCAAGCAAGGAAGGCTTCTTGAAAATAGTTCAGCTTGCTTCACCAAAAATGTTGTTTACAAAGAAATTTATTCATTGTAAGTTCACCTCTTTTAAAGTAAAAATGTTAATTAAAAAAATATCAATAAAATGACCCGAAAGGTAAAATGTTGCAACGCTCGGAACGCTTCCGATTACATATTATTAAGTATCAAAAAGGAATGTGGGAAATAAAATTAGGAATCCACCTGCTCTAGCCGATTCCGTCCTTGGACGGGCTTTTCTACTAGTATTGTGATAAAATAGTACAAATGTGATATTGTACTGTGATAAGATGCATAAATTATGAATATAGCATCTCCTTATCGTGCAACTGAAAGTTACTGACGGCTTGCGTCATCTATCGGAATAAATATCAACTATTCTCGTTGATTTTTAATTATTCCAGAATTGACCAAATACCCATTCTTGATTAATCAAGAAAAGCTAACCACAGACGCGTTTCGGGCTTTTGGTCCTCATCAGCGTGGTGCAAGCTGTACTTCAACGACCAAAAAAACGGTCATTCAGGCATCCTAAAAAATCACGAAACTGGTAGTTAAGGCCAGAATTACGTGATACCGCGACACAATGTGAAAAATTGTTGATAAAGTTGATACAAAAAAGTTGATATTTATTCCGATATATGGCGCAAGCCATCAGAAACTTTTCAGTTGCAAGATAAGGAGATGCCTTTTTCATGAATATATGGTGTTTTAAGGTGAAGTCGAGATGTTAATGGTAAGGAAGCACACACAAGAATCTAGAGTAAGAACTAACCTGGTGTAGATATGATAGAGAGAAAGAGAAAGGGAGAATTCTAAGATCAGATGAGAGACGTAGAGATGTGGCGTTAAATAATATTGCTTATACAAGGTCTAATAAAAAAGTAATCGAACTTTTTAAAAATGAAAAATGCAAGTATATAAAATCCAGGTATATTCACCCTCCACTATCTACAGTTTTTCCAGCAGTCAAAAAACTGTTTAAAAGAGGTTTTATGATTCATTTTCCTGAGTCTTTTTATTTCAGCCGTCACATTTTCAATAAACTCTTTTGATTACGAAAAAGGTTTTCTTTTTAACACAAGCATGAGCTTAAGAAAAGAAATCACAGGGAGAGAGGTCTGGAGAATAAGAAGGATGTGATGAAACAGTCACAGAGTGCTTAGCTAAATAATCCATAACCAAAGGGGCTTTATGGGTAGTGGTGTTGTCAATAAGCAATATTTATTGTTGTGACTGAGAGAACTGGTTGGTTTTCCACCGTATTGAATCTGTTTAATAGATGTGAATCTATTGTTATTGAATAAAATACGTTGATTTCTGTTACAATAAATAGCGCTCTGCTATCAAAAAAAGCTCATGTGAGCGTGGTCAGAATATGCCTATTTTGATTCTAATATAAAGACCTTTGTAAAACGACGTTTGACCAGTTTTACGGAAAATGTTTCATTTGAACGAAAAATCGTCATTTATTTTAAAGAGAAATAACGACTACTCATATCCTTAGGGATGAAATATGAAAGGATGAAGACCTTTATAAAGAAACAACAGCTTATATATATATAGCAACGAAATTATTCTATTACCTTGAAAATGGTAACCCTAGGATGCCCAAGCCTCCCACTATAGAGATTAATCAAGTTTTTATCTGAAAAATAGTACAAAAGTGAATTTGTACTTGGATCAGGTAGATAAATTAAGAATAAATGCATTTCCTTATCGTGCAACTGAAAGTTGCTGATGGCTTTTGCGCCATTTATGATATTTATTCCGATAAATGGCGCAAGGCATCAGCAACTTTCAATTGCACTATCAGGAAATTCTTTTTTTATTAGGTTTTTATCTGTTTTTAACTTTAGTTTTTTCATACAGCTAATTTTTATATTGTAAATATGGAATTTTGTAAGCGCAAAATGTTTTTTTATATACAAACAAAGCCTTTATTAATACCTTAATCTTGTATGGATTCTCTGTACATGATTGAAATTCAGGAAAATGAATAATACAGCAAACAAGTTGTTAGATTTATATGTAATTTTAACCTTCCTAAAATAAGAAACTAATGCTATTAAAAGTTTTATTTCATCGATGTTTTGACAATTTGTTTTGTCCTCGTAAGGAAAAAATGAAAATAAAGCATTTGGTAAGAGGTTATAAAAATAAACATTTATAACACCTTGCTAAATGTTTTAATATTTATTTTTCCCTGTAAGGACAAAGGAATTTTGTCGAAACGTCCAGAAAAAAAAATATATTATAGCCGTAGTGTCTTATTTTAGGAATTATGTATAATGGCCAGGCAACCTCTATCTTCAAGAGACAATTTTAACCTATATATTTAGAGATTTAAATTACTAGCATAAAATACATTTAATGGAGAAGTGAAACAACATATTCTTATTACTACGTTTATATAAGTATAGTCTAGAAATAAAGTGTACATTCCACTTTTTTTTTTTCTACACTCGTCTTTTCAGTGATACACTAACATTGACGTATGCACGGTGGAATCTATGGCCATTGGACATATGTCGAACCTGGAGGCTGTTGGGTTCTGCGCTGCCTGAAGTATAAGAGCCCCATCTATGCTTCTTTCCTGCGGTGAATTTATATAAGACCGGTGGTCTTAATAGAGCTGTGTGTGAACAGTTCGCCATCAATGTGACATCAGGTTTCAGAAAAGGAAAATCGAGATTTACTCCAACACAGTCAACCATACCACCAATTCTACAGTCTCATTTATTTTCAAATAAAGAGAATATTCTATTGAAAAACAATATATTTTATCAAATTAACAATAAAAACATAGTTCAGTTCAAAAATAACTTTATTAGGTATCGCTCACATGGAGCAACCTAACATATGATATTTACAATGGAGAGTTTGTACAGGTTCATCACATTAAAGCAAACTGTTCCTGTTTCAAAATAACTTTATTAGCACAGTTATTTTTCTCGTTTTTTTTCTCTTTCTCACTGTTAACATCATATGACTATTCTATATTTATGACAAGCCCAAGTGTCCCTAGGGAGACATTGCGCTTTATAAATTGATATAAAATAAAAATAAATAAATAACTTTATTATATAACGCTCAAAAAGAACAACCTAGCTTATGTTAAAACGACACTTGAAGTTACACCTCATGAGTTTCTTTTTTAACGAAAAATCTAAATTTTAATTCAAAGTGAAATATCGACTATTTCTAACCTTTTTGGATGACGTATGAAAGGATGAATTATGAAGAGTAATGACGAACGGAAAAATAAAAGTGTCCAAGGATGGAAATCGAACCCACAATGTTCCGCTTACCGGGCAGATGCCATGTCCACTCCACTAGGCTACCCTGGACGTATTTTTCCGTTCGTAAATGATACATAAAGTAACTTATAATACAATATAATACACTGCGGCCTTTAATTGTAAAACGACACTTGAAGTTACACCGCATGAGTTTCTTTTTTAACGAAAAATCTAAATTTTAATTCAAGGTGAAATATCGACTATTTCTAACCTTTTTGGATGACGTATGAAAGGATGAATTATGAAGAGTAATGACGAACGGAAAAATAAAAGTGTCCAGGGATGGAAATCGAACCCACAATGTTCCGCTTACCGGGCAGATGCCATGTCCACAGTTATGTTAATTACAATGATAAATATGGACAGGTTCTTCACAAAAAAAGTGTACAATGAGGGATTCGATCCCGTTTCATGGCTGTTGGACACCGACGGTTTATATACCTCGTCCACCGACTCTTTTATTTGAAAAACACTTTTATTTAAGATATATATAGAAGATTATAGGAAACAGAAAAAAACACTAAAATTCCTATGAGAATAGGTATAATAATGAAGTAGTACAAGGATTCAGAGGCGATAGATTGACGTGGGTCCACAGCATGAAAGGTTATCAACTTTTCTCTATTTATCAAGAAAAGGTATTTGAAAAATAAATAACATTATAGTTGATATTTATTCCTCTAGATTGAGTCATATACTCATGGGCAAAACTTAAGAAAGTTGTACCTTTTAGCATGTATATCTGTAATCAGACAATAACTCTAAAAGATACACTCATGGACAAAGCATAAGTAAGTTGTACCTTTTAGCATGTATATCGGGATCCAAACAATAACTCAGAAAGATACACTCTTGGACACAACATAAGGAGGTTGTACCTTTTAGCATGTACATCGGGATCCAGACAATAACTCTGAAAGATACACTCATGGACAAAACATAAGTAAGTTGTAGCTTTTAGCATGTATATCGGGATTCAGACAATAACTCTGAAAGATATACTCATGGACAAAACATACGAAGTTGTACCTTTTAGCATGTATATCGGGATCAGACAATAACTCTGAAAGATACACTCATGGACAAAACATACGAAGTTGTACCTTTTAGCATGTATATCGGGATCAGACAATAACTCTGAAAGATACACTCATGGACAAAACATAAGTAAGTTGTAGCTTTTAGCATGTATATCGGGATTCAGACAATAACTCTGAAAGATATACTCATGGACAAAACATACGAAGTTGTACCTTTTAGCATGTATATCGGGATCAGACAATAACTCTGAAAGATACACTCATGGACAAAACATACGAAGTTGTACCTTTTAGCATGTATATCGGGATCCAGACAATAACTCTGAAAGATACACTCATGGACAAAACATACGAAGTTGTACCTTTTAGCATGTATATCGGGATCAGACAATAACTCTGAAAGATATACTCATGGACAAAACATACGAAGTTGTAGCTTTTAGCATGTATATCGGGATCCAGACAATAACTCTGAAAGATACACTCATGGACAAAACATACGAAGTTGTACCTTTTAGCATGTATATCGGGATCAGACAATAACTCTGAAAGATATACTCATGGACAAAACATAAGTTAGTTGTACCTTTTAGCATGTATATCTGGAATCAGACAATAACTCTGAAAGATACACTCATGGACAAAACATAAGTAAGTTGTAGCTTTTAGCATGTATATCGGGATTCAGACAATAACTCTGAAAGATATACTCATGGACAAAACATAAGTTAGTTGTACCTTTTAGCATGTATATCTGGAATCAGACAATAACTTTGAAAGGTACACTCATGGACAAAACATAAGTAAATTGTACCTTTTAGCATGTATATCGGGATTCAGACAATAACTCTGAAAGATACACTCATGGACAAAACTTAAGGAAGTTGTACCTTTTAGCATGTATATCGGGATTCAGACAATAACTCTGAAAGATACACTCATGGACAAAACTTAAGGAAGTTGTACCTTTTAGCATGTATATCGGGATTCAGACAATAACTCTGAAAGATACACTTATGGACAAAACTTAAGGAAGTTGTACCTTTTAGCATGTATATCGGGATTCAGACAATAACTCTGAAAGATACACTTATGGACAAAACTTAAGGAAGTTGTACCTTTTAGCATGCATATCGGGATTCAGACAATAACTCTGAAAGATACACTTATGGACAAAACTTAAGGTAGTTACACCTTTTAGCATGTATATCAGGATTCAGACATTACAGTACATATATTACAGTGACGTTTATTGAAGACACACGAGATAACTAAGTGTGAACAAAATTATCTCTGTCGCCTTCAAAAAAGCAGATGACCGGCAAAAAAGTCTTCCCACTTTTTAAGTTTCGTTCATGAGTGTACATCAGAAACTTTATGTTGAAATATGAGGAGATGCATTAAAACAATTTTAAGAACATATACCAACAGAATTATACTGCCAAATATCGTTATTTGATTTTTATGATACTGGACTCAGAAATATAAAATAGAATACACAATTCCTTCCAGAGAGGGTCGTCCACCTTTTTAATATCGTTGACAGTGACCAGTTGACCATCCTCTTTCAAAGATAAAAATATTTAAGGCATATGATTTTTAATTAAGAAATATATTATATATTAAAAACCTCAACAAAATTCTATAAAAACAATATTAATATTTCAAAAATTTAGCAGCGATATTAAAAAAAATCTCAACAGATAAAAATCCGAATGTTTTCTTGAGAATTACGCAGTTTTATTTGCTGGAAGAACTATTGACATTTTCCTTTAGAAAAAAGTTCCAAATTTCTCATTTAAATATATTTTTAAAAAGAAAAATAAATGAAACTTACTTGTACAATATTATTAGCTTACAAAGAGAATATTTTTAGAATATCGAAAAATATTTCTATCTGTTGCATTTAGTTTTTTTTTTTCTTTTCGCATAATTATTTTTCTAAAAATATATTTAAAATACTTATCTAGATAGAGAGAGATTTAGATCGAAACTGATTTATTACTATGTCCATATAAGATTATATATGGTTAAATACATAATATAAATATGAATAAATATGATTATCAATTAAAAAGGCATATAGTGGATCAAAATATCATTTGACTTTTTATATTCAATGCCTTTTTAATTAAAGATTTATTGATGAATCGCTCTATTTAAAAAAGGTTTATTTAATGATAAATATATTAATAAATAAATATATAGAATACTTGATAAATATATATATATATATAATATATACAAGGTGTTCATTGGTGGTGCCCACCGCGGGAAAGACTCCGCCAACGATGGACTGCGAGAGTTCTCTCCCACAGAGTGGGCAGGTCGATGTGATGACTGGCGTTACCCAACTTAAGACCAAGATGGTACTTGTAGATGGTAAAGAGAAAGAAGACGCAACAAAAATATTTCCTAAATATTTAATTATTAAAAGTTTAAATGTTTTATGGTTTAAATTTCTTCAGCAATTGATTTGAAAGATTTGTAAATTTTACGAAATCTATTTAGTACTTTTAGAGGTTAATAAATTAACTTTATGGCAGTTTTTATGTGCGACCGTATAAGATATTTATATAAGAAGGTTGAAAGACAGGGAAATTTTCATTTTTTAAAATTTCATCACAATTTCACAAGCTATTTCTTAAGTAATATAAGCTGTTTGGTAGATGCAGCATTCAGGATTCTACTAATCTTTTACTTAAGTGACCATCTGCTCAAAACTGTAAATAATATATGTTATAATTTGCCTAATTCCCAAGAGGTATAATTTCTTTTCCCCAAAATAAGCTTGTAAAACGACATTTGAAAATTATCCCGCATGTGTTTCTTTTCAACGAAAAATCTAAATTCATCTCAAGTAGAAATAACGATTATTTCTAACCTTAGGGATGAAGTATGAAAGGATGAATCGTGAAGAGTAATGATGAACGGAAAAATAAAGTGTTCAGGGATGGGATTTATCATTACCCTTCACAATTCATCCTTTCATACCTCATCCCTAAGGTTAGAATAAATCGTTATTTCTCCTTGAGATAAATTTTTATTTTTCGTTGAAAAGAAACGCATGCCGGATAATTTTCAAATGTCGTTTTACAATCACAAGCCGCATTATATTATATTGTAAAATAAGCTTGTGTTAAATTGTAAATACAAATTCATCCATCTATAAATACACTGTACGAAATAAACGTGGAAGCCAGCGCGTTCGGGCATATGCTACGGCACGCCGCCGCGTGCGCGCGCTCACCAGTGTGGAACAGGTGCTTTTTCGAAGCTTACATGCACAACGGTTGCACCCTTATATTTGACCACGACAGATACGACATATATACATTTACGATTCAAGTTGTGAAAAATAAATAAAATATAAATTTTTTAACAATGAAGTTTTCCCATTATTACAGGATTTCAGATTTTGACACACACAAATTACAAAATAAATATCAGGTAAAAAGTTATTTTAATTTAAATTTGCAAGCTTTCGAGCAAATATACTGTACTTCAACGGGCTGATATTCTATGTACAATCTCTAAATTGAAGAGCAGTATATTTGCTCTAAAGCTTGCAAATTTAAATTGAAAGAACTTTTACCTGATATTGATTTTTACTTTTTCAAATAATTTTTGAGTAATTATTGCTCACTTAAAAATTACAAAATACTAAAATCTTATAACGCCGTAACTATTTTTTACATCACTTGATCAATGGATGCTTTCGGGCAAGTCCTTCTTCAGTTAAAAGGGTTTATACGTCTTAGTTATCTGAAGTAGGACTTACTCGAAAGCCTTCTTTGATTAGGTGAATAAAAAAGATTAGCAGCATTATATGATTTTGTAATGAGTTTTTTTTTTTTTAGAAATGCGCTAGTTTTCTAGGTAAAATTCTATCTCAAACACATTTCAGGAATCTTTCGTAAAATATTTGTTTATATTTCTTTATATCTCAGATTCACTCATGGACAAATTTAAGGAAGTGAGAAGTCTTTAATGTGTCAAACTTAGTTA